TCAGTAGGATGGAATAAATAGAGGTCCCTGTTAGACACCATAACAACTTGCATAATAATTATCTAAAGTGCTTTAGTAACGTCGCGTGACGGAGTATTTGACAATATATATTCCATTTAGCTTATCTAAATACGTATTTTACGCAGTAATGTACTGCTGCTATTTTTACCTCTTTCCTCTATCAAATACACCTATGTATGTAACGCTTTTATAGTCTAGTTTCCTTATTATTTTACAAAGCAAACACATTTTTCTAATTCTTTGAAGTATAAAGGAATACATTATCTTGAAATGTCAACTAGTAGGTTTTTGTTAAATGAATCACAATAATTGAATCATATCGATACTTACCATTATCAATTTTAGTTAATGATAGATTATGTAAATATGTTGAATATTTACTGATACAGCAATTTTTAATAAATACCAGGTATCTAAAAAAAACGCTCTTCCAAACAAGAATTTTAAATGATGTCGAATCAAATAGCACATTAAAAAGAAAACCATGTTAAATTTCTCAAATTTCGTCATAATGCCTTTCATGATCGCCACATTTGGAGAGCTAATGGATTTTTCTTTTATTGTTTGATATGTTTAATTTTAAAAAAAAAAAACACTGAAATATAATTTTCTTGGAAATGATGATACAAGAGTGCTTTTTATTGGTAATATTTAGTACTCTATCACGTTTATTATTTCAGAGATAGAAACATCCTCATCTCGACTACATCCATTTTGTTAGGCCTCACTAAGCCCATTTTACGTCATCTAGGGGCACACAGGAACTGCATTTGAGCTTGCCAAACAGCTAGCTGGCTATTAATCTCGCCCAGGATATCTCTGGATGTTCGTTTCCTTTCTTTAAGTCGCATTCACTTCAGATAATTAAATTTTGCTCTTAATTTTTTTTTCAACCCTATTTATAGAGTGAGTGGTGTTTGAATTATTTATATAGAATGTTTCCAAAATCGCGATCCACAGATCACATGGTAATTACTTCTCATAAGAAATTAGACAAAAATAAATCCATGGAAACAATCACTTATATCGGAGATTAACTAAGATTTTCCGCTTATTTTTAAAATGAAAGTTATCTCTGCCTTTGTTGGTCATGGTCAACATTATTTACAGATAGTTAAATTTTCTTCAACAATTTTTGTTAAATAACTTTTAATTTAGATACTAAATATTTTTTATCAAATAAATTGCTTTGAGATAATAATGAAGTCACATAGATACAGAGTAGATATTATACATTTCAAAAAAAAATGTAATACGCCTCTTATTTTTAGATATTTTTCATATAAATTACTTTTTTGCTTAATTCTTTAAAATAAGTTACTTTTCTGTTTTTCCTATTTCGCTTCTATTACACACAAATCGTTATTTTGTTATAAACTGGAATTTCATATGTCATAATCATATTGCTTTAGGCAAAGCTTATCGTCAAGCGCTTTCGGTGAAAATCTTATCCACGCCTTCTTGACAAAAATAAGAAAAATTTAATATATCAGAATCGACAGGTTACGTCCAATAGGATATGGGTAAATAAAATCGAAAGGTCCCACCAAATTATCTTCACGTGATGCAACAAGTGGAACATCGAGCAGCATTAGACCGTGATACGTGGGGCGTCTGCAAAGCCCAGCTGAAAAAAATCTGAATAAAAATAAGTGATTAAGGTTGGATTGAAATAATTAAAAAAATCCAACAAAAAATAATAACTTGAAATTTTTAACAAAAATCAAGCTCTATAAGCGGAAGAAGCCCTTTGATTTTAAAAAAAATCGGATTAAAAATGGGAGGGTTAAGGGCGGTTTAAACATTAAAAAACTTTCTATCTCAAAAACAAAAAATGATATCAAAAAAACATTCTTTATAAAGAAAAATCTGATTAAAAATAGAGGGTTAAGGGGGTTGAAAAAAAAAACGTAAATCAAAAACGAAAAGCGATGTCAACAAGAAATTTTCAGTAAAAATCAAGGTCTATAAGAAGATGGAAGCCTATTGACTGTGAAAAAAACTGAATGAAAATGGGGGGTTGAGAAGGGTTGAAATATCAAAAAATCCTAACTCAGAAACGAATAAAGATCAACTTGAAATTTTTAGCAAAAATCAAACTCTATAAGGGTACAAAGTTTAATGATTTCAATAAAAATTGTGAACAAAATGGGGGGTTGAGGGGGTAGAATAAAAAAAAATAGAAATCAAACACCAAAAGCGATATCAACATGATATCAACATGAAATATTTAGTAAAAAATTAAACTCTGTGAGGAAATGAAGTCTATTGATTCTACAAAAAATCTGAATAAAAATGGGGGGATAAGGGGGTTGAAATAATGAAAAATATTCTAACTTAGTGACATAAATGATATTTACTTAAAATTTTAACAACAAACATGTTCTATAAAAAAAGCCCTATAATTAAAAGTAGGGGGTTTAAGGGATAAAAATAAGGGGAATAAGAAAGGGTAAAATAGGGGGTTTAAGGGAGGGGGTAAAATTTAAAAATCATAATTCAAAAATGAAATCGATATCGACATAAAATATTAATTAAGAATCAAGCTCTATAAGGAAATGAAGCATATTGATTCTGAAAAAAATTATAGGCAAAAATATGGACTAAGGGGGTTGAAATATTAAAAAAAACCTAACTCAGCAACAAAAAACGATATCAAATTTAAATCTTTGGGATAAATCGAGCTTTATAAGAAGATAAAGCCCATTGATTCTGAAAAAAATCTGAATTAAAATGAGGGGTTAAAATGTTGACTCAAAAACGAAAATTTTTGACAAAATCCAGCTCTATAAGGGGATAAAAATAATTGATTTAAATAAATTGTGAACAAAATAGGGGGGTTAAAGGGGACTGAAATAAAAAACCGAAATCAAACATCAAAAAAGATATCAACATGAATTTGTTAGTAAAAAATCTGATGTGTCCAATACATGACTTTCCTATCTAATTATTATAGCACCTCTATAAATGTTTAGAGGATAAACTAAATATATACATTTTTACATACATCTAACTCGAAACATTTTTCTATAGATATTCATTAAAAACGAAAATACTAAAAAATTTTAATTTAGCGCTTTTCCTCCAATTTTTCCACTATGGTTCATTTTAGAAAAATTATGTTAAAATAAAAATTATAGAGATCTTTTTGTTTAACAATTTTCTTAAAATCAGAATTTTGCATATTTTGTCAAATTTCTTGAATACGGACCATTTCAGGAAAATTTGACATAAAGCAAAAATTAAAGATAATATTAGAAGTGCCTTTTATTTGAACAATTTTCTTCTCCAAACATAAATATTAAATATATATTCCATAAAATATAAAAACGGCCTCCCATAAAGTACCCCCCCGGATGTTCCGACTATTTCCAAAATCTAATCATTTCACGTCAGGCCGAAATAAAACTTAAGTTTAAAATTTAATGTTTTTTCCTTTATCCGTTTTTGAGTTTTCTTCAAAATTAGAAATTTACACATTTTCTCAAATATCTCGAATACGGTCCATTTTAGAGAAATTATGTATAGAATAAAAATTATAAAGAATTATATTAGAAACAACTTTTATTTAAACAATTTTTATAAAAATTTATTCTTTTACATTTTGACAAATTTCGCAAATACGGACCATTTTAGGAAAATTTTGTAGGGTAAAAAAAATATTGATAATAATATTGTAAGTAACTTTTATTTAAAGAATTTTCTTCTCTAAACGTAAATACCAGATATATTCCATAAAATATAAAAATAACCACCTATAAAGTACCCCCCAGATGTTCCGACTCTGCCCAAAATCTAATCAGTTCATTGGACGTCGGAATAAAGCTTAAGTTTAAAATTTTATGTTTTTCTTTGTATCGGTTCATGAGTTATGGTGGATACACACAAACACGCACACGCACACGCACACGCACACGTGCGCGCGCACACACACACACACACATACAGACATCATCGCGAAAATAGTCGAAACGGATTCAGGAGACCCCAAAACGTAAAAATCCGTCGAAAACTGGAGGTCGAAAAAAATCATGATTCCTTTACTTTCCTTATTTATATACAGATAGGAAATTAAAAAACAAGCTCTGTGGGAATGAAGCCTATTGTTTCTGAAAAAAATCTGAATCAGAATTATTGGATAAGGGAGGTTAAAATATTGAAAAAAAATCCCAACTTAGAAATAAAAAAACGATATCAAAATGAAATATTCAGAAAAAGGGGATGAAGCGAATTGATTCTGAATTTTTTATAGAAGGGAGGGTCTGTTAAACTGTGAAGAGTATAATATAGAATGCCAATCATTATATATATTCATTCTTGTTTGTACTTGCTAAACCCAATAGTTTTTTTAAAAAAAATTATATAAGGTATATAGTATATAATTTCATAGCAAAATTTCTCCTAACTACATATACTTCACTCGCTACTTGAAAGAGACATTCGTAGGTAGTGATGAGTTACTGTCATATTTTTATATCTCTCTAAACAGTGTTAAGTAGGAGAACTGCAGAGGTACCTTTCGAGTAAAGATCTATAAGAAGTCAACTATTGCTTTTTGTGTAGGTACAATTTAAATGAACAGACCGTTTACAAAAAAGGGAAGTATTCCTACCAATATTTCGTGATAAGTGATAAATGCAACCCGATGTATGTTTTCTCGTTCCCGCCTTCATAAGAGGTCATCGTACCGTACTCCTGGTAATTACAAATTTTTGAAATATCTAAATAGCTACATTAGTCGTCTTGAATTTAAAAATAGCTTATTATTTAGATATGTTTCATTTTAAAAGTATTTATCGTTTAATCTCTAAGATTATATTTGATGTATTGTTTGTTCTATTGCTTAAAAATGATACATTATCACTGAAAATGGTAACGATACTTTCATATAGGTACAACGATCATAATTTAACTTAAAATTAGATGGAAACAGAATGAAAGTTTTACACAACTATTTTCTTAATTTAATTTAAACTCACCTAAATATTTAATGCTAAAAGTTAATGGTAAATCGTTAATAGTAATCACAGAATCGTTATCTCCCATCTCTCCAAAATCACAGTCAAAGATAAACCGTACAAACAAATAAAATTATTGAACTAACGCGCTAACTGTAACAACTAACAAAGTATTATAACAATAAAGCTCGACACTTGTATGGAACACACTAAGTCATGTGCGTTTCCTGACATCCGTTTTTCGAAATATCGACCTTCTGTGTTCCGACTCAACTGTTTTACAATTCCCCTATTTTTGTTGCACCTGTTGTCCTCACTGTCATATCGTATATACCTTATCTCACAAAAGGTAGATATTAGTTATAGTATGAGAGATAAAAAACATAATTATTAGATAAGTTGCAATAAATTCCTATTAGCGCATCTTGCTATTGTGCGAATATATAAAAACTTTATATACAGGGTAACTCATTAAGATGTGGATATTTCAAAACTGAATATGTTGGAAAACAGATTGAGAGGTCGTTAGTCAGTACAGTCTGTTCAAGAGGTAATCCTTAAGGAGCTGCCAATCAGATTGAATAATATACCTCAATATATACAAATATAAATAATTTTGATGCAATAAATCAGGTGCGTACTTAAAATTATTTGCTTACTTAATATACAGAGTAACTTCAATGGGGCATGTTCAAAAATTTAGAATTTTTTTTTATGAATAATAGAGTTCAAAATAAAGCTACATTTAAATTTTTTTTTATCTATTCATTTGCCCGAGTTATTAATTTTTTTAAATTTATGACGTCACCGGGAATAGACCAATAGGAACTAGCCACACAACGTTGCCAGTTAGACGGTATACGAAAAGTAATATACGTTCGTTTGTGTGCACCGTCTTACTATTCGACTTCTATAATATCGTTAAATATCTTTTAAATATAAAATCAAATGTTTTTAAAAGTATTATTTATGTTTAAATTTTCACCATATTTATAGTTTCATTGTTTTAAAAAACGACAACTAATAAACAAGAAAATGGAAATGGGGCAACAGTGCATGTGTCATCTGTGACTTAGGAATTTTTGTGTTGTTGTCAATCGATAAATACAATTTTGATGTTTTTATAAATATTATGATTTTGAAAAAAATGTTTCCTCCCAAGATGTTATAATGATTTACATTTTGCATCCATTATTAAAAATATTTATTAGAGTTGCTAGAAATATGAAAAGACGAAAATTATTATCATTACACAGAAATGCTTCAAGGAACAGCTAAATTATTTTGTTGAGGTTTGTATCTAAGTAACGATGTTTTTTCTTTTTTTTTAGATACCAGATGATTTAAAAAAATGTTCATTTTTTAAATGATGGATAAACCTTTACATATAAGAAGTGGGTAGTACCACACAAATATCTCCACAGTTCTTGTTATTCACCACATCACTGATTCTACCAAAAAAAGAAAAAGAGAAAACAAAAAAAATGTTGACTGGAAAATAACCTACTAGGGGCATTTTTCATCTCTATTTAATATACATACACTGGATCTTCAAGATGCAGCAGCAATTTCTGACATTGCTTCGGTTAATTTAAAATGAGCCTACTATAAGTTCGAAGGTTTATATCCTAAAACTCCTTTTGCAAGAACCTGCCTCGAAACCTCCTGAAAGTTTTAAAGATAGTGAAGTTTTGTCTGAATCGGAAGAAACATCTTTAATATCTGATTCAGAGGGACTTAATGATGAGATGGATCTTCAAAACCAATGAACTTTCAAAATTGAAAATAAACCGAAGGTATATTTAGGATTGCCGAACAGTGTTGTTAAAATCTTCAATATTTATGAAAAGGAAAGTGTAGCTTACATAAACCTTTTACATTTCTGCGTGAATTAGTGTTATTTTTAACCGACTTCAAAAAAGGAGGAGGTTATCAATTCGTCGCGATATTTTTTTTTTTTTTTATGTATGTTCAGCGATTATTCTTTAACACGGTCTCCGATTTTAATGATTCTTTTTTTGTTAAAAAGGGGGTACTTCAGGGGTGGTCCCATATAAATTTAGTCAAAATCTAGTAATTGGGTCCATGAGAAAATCCTCAAACTCTTCATTTTTTATGTATGTTTCGCGATAATGCTTTAACGCGATGTCCGATTTCAATGATTCTTTTTTTGTTAGAAGGGGGGTACTTCAGGGGTGGTCCCATATAGATTAGGTCAAAATCTAATAATTGGGTCCATGAGAAAATCCTCAAACTCTTCATTTTTTCTGTATGTTTCGCGATAATGCTTTAACGCGATGTCCGATTTCAATGATTCTTTTTTTGTTAGAAGGGGGGTACTTCAGGGGTGGTCTCATATAAATTTGGTCAAAATATAATAATTGAGTCCATGAGAAAATCCTCAAACTCTTCATTTTTTATGTATGTTTAGCGATAATGCTTTACCACCTTGTCCGATTTATATGATTTTTTTTTGTGAGTAAGGGGGTACCTCAGGGGTGGTCCCATATCAATTTGGTTAAGATGTGGTGATGGCATCTGCACGTTTTTGAAGTCGGTTTTTTTAAATTTTTAACTTAAAAGAACTCATTTTGTAAAACCAAATAATTTAATAAACTTTGTTTTTTTTATTAATTTATCACATTTCAGAGATTATAATAATTGTATATAAACAAAAATGTAAAATCTGTGAAAATTTTATTTATTAACCTATTATTAAAAAATAAAAATAACTGAATAAGATAAACGAAGTAAAAACACTTCATTTACAAATAATAAAAAATATATACACAAGCCCTAATAATAATTGAGATGTCAAATTAAAATGTCCTCTAAAGATTCATTATCAAATTCAACTTGTTATCGACTTCATTATTTACTTCAACCAGCAACGCGTGCGAAATGAAATTTTAATTTAGTAAATCAAAAACTAAGGCGGCTATAATATCATTTTGACGTTACTGTCAGTATAATTAATATTGACAGAATTTACGATAATTATCTTTTTTTAACCGACTTCAAAAAAAGAGGAGGTTATCAATTCGTCGCGATATTTTTTTTTATGTATGTTCAGCGATTATTCTTTAACACGGTGTCCGATTTCAATGATTCTTTTTTTGTTAGAAAGGGGGTACTTTAGGGGTGGTCCCATATAAATTTAGTCAAAATCTAATAATTGGGTCCATGAGAAAATCTTCAAACTCTTCATTTTTGATGTATGTTTAGCAATAATGCTTTACCACCTTGTCCGATTTATATGATTCTTTTTTTGTTAGAAAGGGGCTACTTCAGGGGTGGTCCCATATAAATTTGGTCAAAATCTAAAAATTGGGTCCATGAGAAAATCCTCAAACTCTTCATTTTTGATGTATGTTTAGCGATAATGCTTTACCACCTTGTCCGATTTATATGATTCTTTTTTTGTTAGTAAGGGGGTACCTCAGGGGTGATCCCATATAAATTTGGTTAAGATGTGGTGATGGCATCTGCACGTTTTTGAAGTCGGTTTTTTTAAATTTTTAATTTACACTTGTTATGAAATAAATTAATAAAATGGACAGTGATAGTGATATAAAATTAACACCTCCAAACATAAAGGAAGCTGCAAAAATAACAACTTTAAATTTGATGCCACCAACATCAAAAAAATTATATCAACGATCTTATACCCTCTTCATGAATTGGAAAAAAGGTGAGAACGCAAACTCATTTTCAGAGAACGTTTTAGTGGCTTATTTTGCCGAATTGGCGAAAAAAATTAAAAGTTCTACGCTTTGGACACAATATTCGTTGTTAAGAACGACTATCAGCATTAATAATAATATAGATATTAGCAAATATTTGAAATTGAAAGCATTTCTCAAACGGCAGTCAGACGGATACAAACCGAAAAAGTCGAAGACTTTTACATCAAATGAAATCGAAAAATTTATAAAAGAAGCTCCCGATGAGATATATTTAGTAACAAAAGTAGGTTATTTATATTTAAAATACGTTATTTTTTATATTTGTGTAATGGAAAGTATTTTCAATTTGTGAATTTTTATTGTAGGTTGCGTTAATTATGGGTGTAATGGGTGCATGCAGACGACATGAATTACATCAGATGAAAATTTCAAATTTTAATGATTTGAATGAAGCAGTTTTGGTAACGGTACCAGACACTAAAACCAAAATTGTTCGAAAGTTCACTATAATTGTTCAATATTAAAAAAATTTTAAAAAATATGCCGACCTTCGCCCTCCTCATGTTAATGATCCCTGGTTTTTTATAAATTACCAAAAAGGTAAATGCACCGTTCAAAGAATAGGGTTAAATAAAATTGGGGCAATGGGAAAAGATATTGCCAAGTATTTGAAATTGCCAAATCCTGAGTTATATACAGATCATTGCTTCCGCCGTTCTTCGGCAACAAATTTTAGTTGATGCTGGTGGTGACATAACCACGTTAATGCGTCATGGCGGCTGGAAGTCTACACCTGTTGCTAAAAGCTATATAGATGAATCCTTAACAAATAAGATTGATATAGCCAACATAATTTCTAATAAGATAAAAAATATAACTACAGAAACGGGAAACACATCTACTACAACTGCAGAAAATTGCCAAATTCAAGAAAATGTAAATATTGAACATAATATCACTACTACCTCCCCAAAAATGGTGTTTAATAATTGTACGTTTAATTTTTATAAATAGGTTGGGGTATGGCTTGACCAGTTTTTCAGTTTCAATCGAGTTTATTTATCCACAATTTGTTATTTACAGTGTAATCTATTCCAGTTAATAAAATAAATCTTTTATTCGATTTGTGTTTGTTTATGTAATAGAAAGCAGTCGTAGAAAAAGTATAGTATGCAACTCGCACGAAATAGCTATTTTGCACTCGTATGATTTGCAACACTCGCCTACGGCTCGTGTTTCAAACTTTCATACTCGTGCAAAATATGCTTCATTTCGTGCTCGTTGCATAATATACTATTACATTATTGAGATTTTCGTACAATATCTGAAATATGTTCAATTTGGGATGCTTTTCATGTTAAAAAATCTTCAGAGTATTCTAAAAAACCGTGTTCTTTGTTGGATAAATTTTTAAAACCGAATTAAAAAACAAATTAAAACATTAGTGCAGTTTTATCAAAAATTATCGAGGTGTCCTTTTTTCGTGCCGGTGAGTGTATATCTACAAATTGGTAAATGGTTGTTAATTGTTGCATATTCTCTCTAGCAGCGAGTTGTTACAAGTGCGTGGCGTTGGCAAGTAAGAGGTCTTACTTACTCGAGACCTTAACCTAGGAACATGAAAGAAAATATTGAAAATCACATT